GGAGGATCCCTTGAGTCCAGAAGTTCAGATCAGCCTGAGCAACATAGCGAGATCTTGTCTCTACAAAAAAAAAAAAAAATAGAAAAATTAGCTGAATGTGGTGGCACGTAGCTGTAGTCCCAGCTACTCGGGAGGCTGAGGCAGGAGGATCGCTTGAGCCCAGGAGTCTGAGATTACAGTGAGCTGTGATTGCACCACTGCACTCTAGCCTGGACAACCGAGCAAGACCCTCTCTCAAAAACAAAAACAAAAACAAAAAACTCCCAAAACACACATAAAAAAACAGAGCCTTTGAGAGAGGAACCCAGGGCGTGAGGGTACCTCAGAGGAAGCACCTGAGTGAAGTTGGGAGTTCAGGGACCCTCTTCTATTCCTTGAACATGCTTAGCTCAGTGCAGACCCAGGGCCTTTGCACTTGCTGTTCCCTCTGCCTGAAATGCCCTTCCCTACATCTTGACTCATGGCCAGCTCCTCTCACTTCTTCAGGTCTCTGTTCAATGTCACCTCCTCCAAGAGGCCCTCACACGTCTTATAGCTAGAGGAGGCACCTTGTCACCTCCCGGCACTCCCTAGCTCTTTGCCCTGCTATCTTTCCCTCTCCATAACCCTCCTTTTTCACTTGTTGACATTATTGATGTATTTATTTGTGTTTATGTTTATTGGAATGTAAGTTCCAACAGCAAAAGGCTTAAGTGTCCCTTGGCCATGGTAACCTCAGTGGCTGGCAGAGTGGGCCCCTAATACAGAGAGATTGGCTGCATGAACACAGCATTGATTAAGCACCTACTGTGTGCACTGCCCTGGGGTAGAATGAGTTAGGACAGGTGAGGAAGGCCAAGGTGCCACGTGGAGTGACACTGAGAGTGTTTGAGCAGGGGGTGGGGGCCCGGCTTGCAGGGAGGTTGAAGGTGGGGGTGAGGGCTGGCTCGATCTTGTCTCTGCCATCCCTGCAGGGTCACCGTCCTCTCTCCCAGCCCACTGTCGATGTAGGTCCTGAAGGTGAGTGTTGGAACTCCTAGGTCTGGGGGTCAGGTCACCCCCAAAGAGGGTGACCCAAGAGGAGCGAGGGTAGGGGGCCTCTTGGCCCTTCCTCACCCTCTCTTCTCTTCTTTCCTCTTGTCTCTGCCCCTGACTCCCCAGGCCACACTGATGTGGACAAGAGAGCCTCCCTGCCCGTGGGACCAGTGGGCATGTCCCCAGAGTCCCCCTCTGAGTCCAGAGAGGAGGCTGTAGAGGTTCTGCCAGCCCCAGCCCCGAGGCAGGTCCCCGGAGCTGCAGGGGCCTCCTCAGAAGCCAACGGCCCCTGCCCTGGACCCAGCCCCGCTCCGGAGCAGGAGCTGAGTCAGGGGGCGGTGGCAGGCAAGGGGCGGGTGGGCGAGGCCAACGGAGGGGGCGTGGTCACGGTGGTGTGGGAGGGGCTGAGAGCCGCCGAGGACTGTGCCGCGGGAGCCACCGGCCCTGAGCTGGAGGCTAAGGTGGAGGAGGTGGTGCTCGAAGCCATTGGGGACAGGCGGGGGGTTGGCCGCCCGGAGCTCCCAGCCTGGGTGAGGGAGGACAGGGGCATCGTGGAGGTGGTCTGGGAGGGGGTCGGGGGCAGCGACCCAGAGGCCACAGGGGCGGTAGGTGGGGGCGCAGAGGCGGCGCAGACCCGCTCCCCGAGGCTGCCCGAGAGATCAGAGGTGGCAGCTGCGGCAGAAGGGGACGGCGCTCCCGGGAGCAGCCCTGAGGGGGATGGGCAGGGCGGCTC